ACTGAAATCCAATGCGCTGCAGCTCATCTACAACCTGGTGGTGGAGCTGGGCGGTGACCATCGAGCCAAGGCCGAAACAGCCATCCGCTTTGTGGCAAAAGAGCTGGCGCAGGTGGGGACAACCATAGGGCTCGGCAGCTTTCTGTTCCAATACTTGCTGGGTGTCATTAGCCGAATGCAGGACGTGCTGAACGACTCGGGGCTGGTCCAGCCAAAGCAGTCCAAGCTCAAGATTGCCAAGGCCTGCAGCGTGCTCATCCCGATTCTGGGAAGCGATAATGTGTCAAAAATTTCGGCACAGCTGGCTGGGTTCTTGCAGCTCTTTATAGAGTTTGAATTTCTGTGGACTACGGCTCTAGATGCCTGGCTCGTGTTCGTCAAGACGGTAAACATCACGGCTCTGGAGGAGCTGTTTCGCCAGATCTGTGTCAATTTGATCCGCATCGAGGCCAAGTGTACTGCGGCCTGTCGGTCCAAAATGATTGAAGTCTTCCAATTCATCATTTGCGAGCGGGGTCCGATTTTAAAGTCCAAGTTTTCCCAGCTCCCAGACCTCCCGACGACAAAAGAGTGGCAGAAATGCCGCGAGGAGGTCAAGATCCACGTCGGCGAAGCGCTGCCGTTTTCCGCCGTCCTCAAAGACTTTGTGTCGATGCTGGAGAGCGACAATGGCGCTCTGCTTACCCAAGCGCTGGTGAAACTGAAAGCCTATTTGCTGCCTCGACAGCTGGAGCTGCACACGCTGCTGCTGGGCGAAGAAATCGACTGGAGCATCAGAAGAATTGTGCAGCTACTGCTGCTGACGGTCAACAAGTATCATTTTGTCGACCAGGCCATTGCTCTCTACTGCTGCGACTGTCTGGGAATCATTGGGGCCGTCGACCCCTCAAGAATGGAGATTGCAATGGACATTAAACAGGAGTTTGGACCCGAGTATGCCATGAACTCGCCCGAAGACGTGCTCCTCTTTTCTTGTGCGCTGATCGAGAAACATTTGGTGTCGGCGTTCAAGTCCACCCAAGACTCGAAACTGCAGGCCAGCATTTCGTTTACCATACAGGAGCTCCTGAGGTGGTGTGGATTTACCCCCGAAATTGTCCAGGAGGCTAGCCAGCTCCAGCAGATCCGGCCCAAGGTAAAATCCAAGGACGGGATCAGAAAAAGCCTGATTGAGCGCTGGAAGTCATTTCCGGTTTCCATTCTGTCGACCCTTCTCCCTCTGGTTGCCAGCCGCTACCACATCGAAAACGTGGTCCAGCCGAGGGTAGGGTATCCCATCTTTCACCCAAACCTGACGTATGTGGACTGGCTGCGCTGCTGGTGCCTGGATCTGATCCCCCGATCTGCAAACTCAAATGCGCTAAAGGCGTTTGGCACATTCTCGTCGGTGATTGCCTATGGCGACATTGCAACGGCCCAGCTGCTGCTGCCGCATCTGGTGACAAACGTGCTGAACGGCGACCCGGCCCATGCTGAGGATCTTTCCAAAGAGTTTTGCTACCTCCTGACGGTGAGTACCTCAAACAAGCAGCACCGCCTGTGCATCCAGATGATTTTCCGACTCATCGACCACATTTCCAAGCGGGTTGCCTTCTGCCGCTCCAGGGGAGGCAAAGCCAAAGGCCGCTCCAGCACCAATTCGGCGACCGTGTCTGCATTCGAGCTGGAGGCCCACAACCTGGACTCGTTTCTCAAGCGGATCCCCCAGTCCATGATTGCCAAGTCTGCCATCCAAACAAAGTCCTATGCCAGAGCGCTGATGCACTACGAGCTCTATTTTCGCTACGAGCGTCTCTCCAAAAGCAACCACGAGCTCCAGCCTCTCTACTGCGACCTACAGGACATCTATGCGCAGCTAGAAGACGTTGATTCGCTGCAGGGCCTTGCGTCCAAGCTCGAGTACCAGAGTCTGGACCAGCAAATTGCTGTCCACGAAGTCAACGGCGAGTGGATGTCGGCCCATAGCTGCTACGAAGTTTTGCTACAGAGCAGTCCGACCAACTCCAAGTACCAGCACGGACTGCTGAATGCGCTCCAGAACATGGGCCACTACGAATCGATGGTTCTCCACGCCCAGGGCATCCAAAACAAGCTGGACCTGGCCCATGCAGACACAAAGATCAACTCCCGAATCATTGCCGCGACTTGGAGGATAGGCGACTGGGAGCGGTTGGCTGCGTTGCTGCAAGACAACAAGTTTGAGCCCTCGTTTGACACAATGGTGGGCGAGCTGCTGCTGGCGCTGCATTCCAGCCAGCCGCAGGTTGTCCAAACGGTGCTGCACACTGCAAAGGCCCGTCTAATGCACACCCTGGCCGCGGCAGCTATGGAGTCGTACAACCGCTCGTACGACTGTCTGGTGAAGCTGACGCAGCTGCATGAAATCGAGTGGTTTTACCAAAACATCCTGCACAAAAAATGTCCCGGGACGTTTGAGCTGGTGATGACCCAGGTCTCGAGCCTGTCCGACTGCCGCATTGAAATTATGGAACAGAAAAAGCGGAACGAGTTGCTCACTCTCCGGAGGCTGCTGGCCAAGATCTCTCTCTCGATGTACCCCGAAAACGACGCGTACATCAACAGCAGCCTGGGGTCGCTCTGGATCAAGTCGGCAAAGGTAGCCCGCAAAATGCTCCACTTCCAGACCGCAAACTCGGCCATCCTCCAAGCCATACACTACCGAGCCCCCGAATCCTCGATCCAGCACGCAAAGCTGCTCTGGGAGCAAAATCAGCGCTACCAGGCAATGTCCTTTCTCCAGCTGATCGTCAACAGAGGCCTGTCGCAGCCCGAACAGCCCGACACACGCAAGGAGCGGCTTTTGCTGGCGTCGTGGAAAGACATCAGCGGAGGGATCATCTCGAGCGCACTGATTTCGGCAATGACGAGCCTGACCAAGGAGTATCCGCAGTGGGAGAAGGCACAGTTTCTCCTGGGACGCTACTACAACCGCGTCTACGAGTTTGAAAAGAAACACCAGGATGCGCTGCTGGAGAATCCAATGGGGAGAACGACAACTTCGGCTGCGCACATCATTGTGCTGATTTGCAAGCAGTACGCGCGAAGCCTGACCCTGGGGAGCAAGTACCTCTATGAAGCCATGCCAAGAATGCTCTCCCTATGGCTAGACCTGGGCGACCGTGTATGTGAACCCGACTTTTGCATTCCCAAGGACGCTCCCCAGATTTCGGAGCGGCTCGACCACCTGAACAATGTCATCCGGAGATGCATCACCCGCCTTCCTCCGTTCCAGTTCCTGACTGCGCTGCCCCAGCTGATCTCCCGCATTTCGCATCCGCATCCCAAGGTGCAGGACACGCTGGAGGGCATCCTGGTGACGATCCTGGTCAGCTACCCGCAGCAGAGTCTCTGGCATCTGATGGCGGTTGCAAAAAGCACCTACAAAAACCGCGTTGCGCGAGTAACCTCGGTGTTTACCAAAGCCAAGGCAAGTACTGGTCGCTTACGGTAGGCACTGCAAAAGTCCAGCACCATGTCGCAGTGGCTTCAGTATGCTGAGGCGTTGACCGAGGGATTTCTGAATCTATGCAACTTTCCCATTCCCAAGGAGATAACCAAGCTGTCCATGTCCAAGGACTTTAAAGGCCTCGACCGGCTCGTCCAGTCCATGACCTTTCGGATGATTGTTCCGCTGCAGAACAGCTTGACCGCCCGCATCCCCTCCCGGTCGTCTGGCTCGGAGCTGGCGAGGGCCGAGACTCACGAGGCTTTCCCCAGCGACTTGCCCACGATAGTCGGGTTCAAGGACCAAATCGATGTCATGTCGTCGCTGCAGCGACCTCGCCGAATCACTGTGCTGGGGAGCGACGGAAAAGAGTATATTTTTCTGTGCAAGCCGGACGACGATCTGCGAAAGGACTCGCGCCTAATGGAGCTGAACAGCATCGTGAACAAGCTTTTCAAGAAGGACTCGGAGGCGCGACATAGAAAATTGCTGATCAGGACATATGCAGTCATCCCGCTGAATGAAAAATGCGGGCTGATCCAGTGGATTGGCCACATGAATGGCTTCCGGCACATATTGGTAAAGGCCTACAAGGAGCGCAATCTTTACACACCGGTACCGGCTTGAGGCTAACGGATAGCATACCGAGATCAAGGAGCTGCTCGGCCAAGTGCCTCCTGGCCAGGATCCGTCCGAGGTGTTTGTCCGACAGATCCTTCCCCGCCATCCGCCGATCTTCTACACGTGGTTTTTGGAGACCTTTCCGGAGCCGGCAAAGTGGCTCGCCAGTCGGTGCGCGTACACATCCACAGTGGCCGTCATGTCGATGGTTGGCTACATCGTAGGACTGGGCGACCGCCACGGAGAAAACATTCTGTTTGACGAATTGACAGGAGAGGCGCTCCATGTGGACTTGAACTGCCTGTTTGAAAAGGGCAAGAGCTTTGAAATACCAGAGCGTGTACCGTTTCGGCTGACCCACAACATGGTGGATGCCTTTGGCGTGTTGGGCATTGATGGCGGGTTTGTCAAGTGCTGCCAGGTGGCTCTAGGGATTCTGCGCGACCACCAGGATCTGCTGCTGGGTATTCTGGAGACGTTTCTGCACGATCCTTTGTGCGAATGGGCCTCGAGAAGAGGACAGCAGCTTCCCGAAAAAATGAAGCGATCCGGCCACAACATCAACGCTCTAAAGACACTGGGCGACATCAAGAGAAAGCTGCAGGGCTTTGTTGATTCCTCCAAGCTCCCTGTCAATGTGCCTGGCCAGGTCGATTTTCTGGTTCAGGAAGCCACGTCGGCCTCCAACCTGTCCAGGATGTACATTGGCTGGGCCGCCTATTTGTAGTGCTGCGGCAGATTCGCATAAACGTCCGTCTGCACCACACTATCTCTTTGCCAGCGCAGCTGTCTGTGTCCTGGGATTGGTTCGTGGACGTCCAATCAGCCTGCACTCCAAAACGCAGGTGTGTTCACAACCAGAGTTGCCAAATACTGGGTTAGTTCATAGTTTGTGGAGGCGAGCGGCGAAGGTGGAGAAGTGGCCGAGTGGTCTAAGGCGCCAGATTTAGGCTCTGGTCTTTCGGGGCGAGGGTTCGAATCCCTTCTTCTTCATCTTTTTATTTAACCAGACTTTACCTTTTGCTGGATGCCATGACGGCCGACCAAGCCAATTTGTGGTGCGATGGAGCTGCGACAAGCGATCCTTCGAGGTGTTTCAGCCAACGCATAAATTCGCACTGAACAGAGCCAAGAGGAGCTCACCAGAGTCTAGGTTGAATAGGTCGGAATTTGCATGCGAGATCAGATAACAGGGAACACGCAATCATGCAAGATACTGCTTGTATCGTAGTCACAAATTATCTTCGTCGGGTTCAAATCAAGCGATTCTCGTGGTTTAAGCTGTAATCTATGCTAGCACGCCTGCCTATTGCCGATGGATACCACTAGTGGCTAGCTTGGAATGTTTAGTATGCGAATCTGCAATTCCGAATCAGTTTATGCTGGCCTCAGAATTCTGGATCTTGAATTGGTCCAAGTGCAGATATTCACCTGGAATAAGCAGGGATGTTCACAAAGAATTTTATGTTACACGTGAGGGTGAACATCCGAAAGCACAGATGACCTGGTTTGAACACAACTACAGTGCCTCCGGATTGGACTTCCAGACCGGCTCTAGTTGCTTGTAGTGCTCTTTTTTCCAAATTGGCACCTTGGCCTTGAACTGGTCCATGATCCAGCCGATTGCGGCAATCGCATCGCCTCGGTGCGGAGAGCACGTCACAATCTGTATCGACGTCGCCATCACCGGAACATTGCCAAGGCGGTGGTACATCCCGACCCCTGCCAGGCCAGCGTATGTGTCCTTTGCCTGGTGGGCGATCTGCGTCATCACTTTGATGGCCATGGGAACGTATGCTTCGTAGGAAAGGTGAGTGACGACGGGGCCACTGTCCTGTCCAACCGACTTTTCCATTTCTCTGGTCGTCCCTATGAAGGAAACCACCGCCCCGCAGCTGGGAAAGGTCAGCCTGTGCACCAGAGCTTGCTGGTCCAGCACGTCTTCCTGAATTCCAATTGCAACGAGGCAGTCTCTGTACTTTGTGGTTTGTTCGACTTTTTCCATGGTCGACAAAGTGCGTTGGCAAAAATTGAGGTTTCGCAAAATTTGGGGGTTTCAATAAGCGACAAATATGTATTTCATCACACTGTCACCCAAGATGCAAATAATGCCTGATCGTGAGTGATGCATCGTTCATCTGGTATCGTGGGCATGCGTGAATCTGGTGGATTGGTGGGTTTAGCTACCAAGTAGATGGTTGAATCATCGATAACATTGAAATATTTGTCTAGGTTGACAACTCTCACCGTGCAAATTTTTTTTGCCCATTTTGAAAACCATGGACGAGGTTTGCATCACTTCCACCAACGGCCCGTCTGTGGAAATGGTCCATGTCTGGAACATCAGGACCGGAGTCTTGCTGCATTCCTGGAAGGGAAACAAGAGTCTGGGTTGTGTTCTCCTGAAACAGCCCAGTTCCGAGGCCAGCGTCTTGCTCGCAGCTCAATCGGACCGGCCTCTTGTCCACGGCTGGGGCTTGAACAAGGCTCCCATTGCATTCAAGCATGTGGTGCCCGAGCAGCTGTCTTGTTTGGCGGTTTCGCATTCTGGCCAGTACGTTGTGGGTGGAGGCCAGTCGGGGAGAATCTACCTATGGCACTATGCCACCGGGATCCTGGTGAAGATGTGGGACGCCCACTACAAGCAAATCACAGCGTTGGCATGGACAGTGGACGACCACCGCCTGTACTCGGCCTCGGACGATACCATGATGCATGCGTGGAACCTAAACGCGCTGCTCGACATCTCTGCAGCTTCGGTGTCTCCGGCGGCGTCGTTTGCTGGCCACTCTTTGCCCATCACGGGAATCCATGTAAGCGGTTGTCGGTAATACAAGGTGGCGATGCTGCTTGGGCCGGTTGCTAGAATCACAACCTGCTCGATGGACAAGTCCTGCAAGGTGTGGGAGCCGAGCGGACACTGCGTGGCCACGATTGCATTTCCGCGCTCGCTCTCTTGTCTGGTGCTGGACATTGCGCAGGTGTACCTGTATGCGGGGACCTTTGACGGCCCTATTTTCCGAACTAATTTATACGCGACTCCAGACGAAAAAGCGTTTGTGCTTGAGAAACACGCTGCAAAAGTCACTGGCCTGGCCTTTGCCAAAGACGAAACCCTTCTTGTGTCTTCCTCCACCGACGGCACGTGCTCTGTGTGGGATCCCTCCAGCCGCGCCTGTTTGCGAACGTTTAGCCAGCTGAAAGGAGAAGCAACGTCGTGTGTTGTGGTTGACTGGGAGCCGCATGCCACACTCTATCCGCCACCCCCGCAAGGTCTGGCAAAGTATCCAGAGACTGCCGAGGACCAGGCGAGCAGAATGGTAGCCCCGCTAGACGCTGTTGCAAAAAAACGCCATGTGCTGGATATCAAGAGGGTCGCAGCGCTGGCCCTCAAACTCGACTCTGCCGATCCAGGATCTGGCGGTGCAGCCATCTTGCAGGACCTGGACAGGGTGCGTTCCCAGAACCAGGAGCTACGCAAGCTAAACGACGAGCTGTTCAAGGCGCTAATATAGGGGTTCAAGCTTTAACAAGTTTTACTCTGCACTCAAATAAATTTGTGACTACGATACAAGCAGTATCTTGCATGATTGCGTGTTCCCTGTTATCTGATCTCGCATGCAAATTCCGACCTATTCAACCTAGACTCTGGTGAGCTCCTCTTGGCTCTGTTCAGTGCAAATCTATTGCTTTGAACACCTCAAAACATTGGTGGCCGAATTTTTAACTGTACAAATACGTTTGTTTAATCTGATACCCCATCAGTCACTCTGCTCCTCCTGAGCCTGCTCTTTTGCTATCTGCTTTGCTCTTTCCTCCATCCGCTTCCGCTTTTCCGCCAACTTTACTTTAAACTCCTTTGCGACGTTAAAGACACCTACGATGAGCGAACACCGCCTACCCTGTGTGTTTTGGTTGCAGGCAAAGCAGCTAGGGCTCTTGCTGAACTGCTTCAGAGCGCACTTTTCACAAAAATAGTGGCCGCATTTGGTAACGATTGGGTTGGTAAAGTCCTTTCGACAGATGAGACACGCAAAGGGAAGGTCGTCGTCGGACTCGGCATCGTTGACCACCTCTTCGTCAAAGTACCGGTTGGGGTCGTTTTCCTCCATGTCTCGCTTTTGCTGCTCCTCCCACTCTTTGTCGAGCTGCCAGCCCATCTTGTAGTCTCCTCGGTCATGCATAAAGACACAGCTGTCTCCAAAGCCACAGAAGCCTATGGTTATGCCATCGCTGCCGTACCTGTTTCCTTGTAGTCTTTGCAGATTGCTGGCGCATAGTCAAAGCGGCTGGACACGCGGACCGTCGACAGCCCCTTTAGCGGCCCAGCACGGAGTCCTCCGGCGTTGGACTGGGTAACCTTTTCTTTTTTCTTGTTGACAAACTCCTTGTAGCCCGACTGGCCCTGGTAAAACCCATTGTCCAGTTTCTCCGCCTGCTCGCCCGAAATGACTTTGGATGGGTCGGCAGATACGACATCGCCAGCAATTCCCCTATCTATGTCCAGCACTCGAGTGGCGGTGTTGGCCAGGAGACTCGAGGCTGTCCCACTGCTCCGGAATGCAACCCCCAGCGACGACATGTCCTCTCCCAAAACATGGCCCTTTTGCTCGGTCAATTCTTCTATTTTCCGCCCTTTCTTGATGGCCTGCTTCAGTGCAGAGGCAGAAACCAGCGTGTCTGCGTGGTCTCCGTCTGTTTCCTCCTGCTCCACCTTTCTCTTGTTTTGCATCTTTTTCTTTGGCTTTTTGAATTGCAGGTCGTCGTCGCTCATGGCTGCGATGAACTAAGTTGAGGAAGGATTTTTTGAATGTTTGCAATTAAAAATGGACAGAAGCAACTCAGAAGAACCCATCAAGCTTGAACTGATCCATCCTACCGACCGGGATATACCTCAGGAGGCCATTGAACTCTCTCCCGAAGAGCGGGAGGCGATGGGAAGGGATAATTTAAAGAAGCTGCGCGCAATGTGGCAGTTTGCTTCCATTTGCCAATTTTTTAGCTTGTATGGCGAAGCCTTTGGATTGCCAGATTTCGACTCCTACGTAGGCTTCCAGGTCGGTCGCTAATCCAAGGACCTGGAGGAAGAGTTCGTCTGGCCCGTTGATTTAGGGAAAATGGAAGAGCTCCATGGTATTTATCTTGGCCGACTGAGGTTTAGCTCGGATGCTGAGGATTGCCACCAAAAATAGATTCGCATTGTACTCTATCCTGACACTCATGTCGTAGGGAAGACGTTTGGCTGCTTTATGTTGATAGAGAAATCCAAAAGCGCCATGAACCCCAGGACGGCCCCGTATTTTTTGCTGTAGATCTTTCCAAGCCGCTGCCCAAGTACTCGAGTCTGTCCCTCGAAACCAGAGTAGGCTGCTCCGCCATAACGCCAGGTTCTTTTGCTACACTTTATCTGCGAAATGCAGCTCGACAAGCCAGATAACTTTAAACCCTACAACGATCACTCCGAGTACGAGGCAACGTCTTGGGTGGGTCTTGTGTGGTTGACAGCTAGCGTGTCGAGCCCATCGGAACCGACTCCAACGGGTACACCTACTGGGTGTTTGACGATGCCCGTCTGTACAAGGAAAAGAAAAAGGAGTGGACCTTGGTACGCTGCGATCGCTCACCGCTAGGTGTGCTGCACCGAAGAGGAGTGGGTGTCATTTCCCCAGCAGTTTCAAGAAAGCAAGAGCACGGCCGACAAGGCGCTGTTCAACTTTCTGAAAAAGGACCTGGTGCCCTCTGTTCTTCAGGACCTGGTGGCCGCCGAGGAAATGCGAGCCGAAAAACTAAAGAAACAGAAGGAGGCCGAGGAGGAAGAGGCGCGGATCCAGGCAGAAGAAATTGCGCGGCAGCAGGAGGAAAGCGAGCGTCTGGCGCTGGAGCTGGAGAAGCAGCAGGTGATTTTGCGGTCCACCCGACAGACCAGGAGAGGCCCGACAAGGCCAAAAACCGCAGCAGAGGTGGGCTGGCCTGGCGCTGATTCTAGATCCGGGAGGAAAGGGCCCTGCTGCGTGCAGAGCGCTTCAACCAACGGCTGTTTGAACCGATCCCAGACGAGCTTCTAAACTCCGAAGACGGCGCCTACGAGCCCCGAAAGAAGGCAGCAAGACGGCCGCCTCCCAAGAAAACCAAGAGGAGGAGGAAAGAGTATTCGGACGACGAGTCGGAGGAGGAAGATACCGAGGAAACCGAGGAAGAGGAAATCTCGGACATGGATATCCGCGACTCGCCGCCTCCGCCCCGGGTAAAGCGAGGAGTGGGCCGGCCCAGAAAGAATCCGCCGCTGGAAATCGACGATGCCGTAACTCTACCCGAAGCGAATCCAACGGAGGCACCGCAGCCTTGGAATTTCTCGTGCATATGTGGATTGGCTGGCCAAAACATTGATGGTTTGCACTGCGGACGGCTGACGGCAGACGGAACCCCGATCATATCTTGTGATACCTGCGACACATGGTGTCACATTCTGTGTCTGGCCAAGCTGGAGGACGATTTGGCCAAGCTGGAACCCAACTACGCCCCCACCCCGCTCGATCTCGAGGCCTGGTTTGCCAAAGATTATACATGTACAAAGTGCCTAGATTCAAAACTCGCAAACCCAGCGGCCGTTTGCACCACTGACCAGGGGCAAAGAGCGGAGGCTCGGGCCGAGCACCACAACCAGATCGTGAATGGCCACTTGTTGAACGGCAGCCATGCGCTCTCGAATAGTCACGATGGACTGCCCCACACTCTCTCTGCCCAACCATAATCAAGGATGGAATTTAAAAATATATTTTCTAGTCAACTCCAGGTGGACCTTTCTCATAAATCCATTCATGCGTCCCAGACGGCGAGGCTCGCAGCCGCACTGGGGGAAGCAAGCCAGCTGCAGTCGCTCAATCTGTTTAGCAACTACCTGGGAGACAAAGGGGTGGAGGATATTTGCAAGGCTTCCTTTTCCACCAACACCTCGCTGTTTCGCCTGGACCTGAGCTACAACGGGATTGGGAATAGAGGGGCGGTGGTTCTGGCACAAATACTGCGCAGCCCATCCTGCACCATTGAGGAGCTGGACCTCGACGAAAACCAAATTGAAGAAGAGGGCATTGTGCAGCTTCTTGCCAGTCTGGACCAGAACAGCAACATTCTCGGGCTTTCCCTGGCGGGCAATCCTGGCCTGGTGTTTCCATACACGCAGGAACTGCAAAGGCTGGTCGAAAGAAACATAGAGCTGGCCCAGGTTCAAGACGAGCGTGCCGTCGCGTATCTGGCTACCGCCCGGAAAGTCGCCATGCTGAACTTTCCATACGAAATCAAGACAGCAATCCTTGGCTTTCTCCAGGTTTCGGCCAATGTTACCCAAGCGAATGCGCTGTCGCAGGTGCTGCTGGACCGAGCGTCGATCGGAAAGCTGCCCGCCAAAGACGTGAGCTTCTCGGCCAGGTTCTTGAAGCGGATCTGTCTGCAGAAAGTGTGGCTAGAGGAAAGCTCGCGGGTTGTATGTGCCATACCAGTCAAGGGAAGAAAGCATCACCTGATTGATCTCGAGAGTTGCCGACGAGGCATTGCATTCCTCCTGAACCTCTCGCCCGTTTGGGGGAGGTGGATTTACAAGACGGCGTTTTCAAGATGGCTGCGGACCAACTGACTGGCTTGGCAGTGTTCAAAGCTAAGCAATAAAAATGTGTACAATTAGCACTCGCGGTTGAAGCAGACCATCAGAGACTAGCATACACTGCCTCGGAACAGATCAATGGCGAGATCGCTTTGGCCTAGAGGCAGTGGCAAGCCTGTCTAGACAGTACGTCGCATGTTCACAATGGCCTCGCTATGGATCGATGAGTGGGCCGAATATGTGGTAAGTGAGATCCCCAGATTCATGCTTGAACACGGAAACAACAGATGGAAATCCATTCACGATCGGGCAGGATATCTATCCCTACTTTGGTGAATACGTTGTCAATGATTCGCTGGACTCGTAAATATTTGTTGGGTAATTGCACAGCATCCGCATTTTGGGACAGTTAATTAATTAATTGGGACTCCCGCACTTTCCCGATTTTTCATGGTCAACCACGTTGAACAGCAGCAAATTAGCGACGTTGTCCTGGCAACGGCAGGCTATGACCATACTATTAGATTCTGGGAGGCTCTTTCTGGCGCCTGTCTGAGAACCATTCAGCACCCTGATTCCATCAACCAGCTTGCCATTTCACCCGACAAAAGGATATTGGCTGCTGCTGGAAATCCACTCATTCGGCTGTATGATATCCAGTCTACCAACCCCAATCCCATCTCTACCTTTGAAGGCCACACCAAAAACGTAACGGCCATCGCCTTTCAATCTGCCGGCAGATGGTTTGTTACCGGGAGTGAAGATGGCACCATCAAAATATATGATGTGCGAATTCCCGGCATACAGCGTGACTATACTCCCGACCCGAAATCGCCAGTGAATGGGGTCATCATCCATCCCAACCAAGGCGAGCTGATATCCTGCGATCAAAACGGGTCCATCAGAGTATGGGATCTGGGTGAAAATTCTTGCACCCATGAATTGCTTCCAGATGAAGATACCCCGGTTCGGAGCGTATCCATGGCCTCCGATGGATCTCTCCTCATTGCCGCCAACAACAAGGGCAACTACTACGCCTGGAAGACAAAGACTCTGGGCGAGGTCACCGACTTTGAGCCGCTGACACGAGTCAATGCCCACAGCAAATACATTACAAAGTGTCTGCTTAGCCCCGACAACAAGTAGGTCCCCGGCCGTAACCCCAGGCTACTGGCTACTTGCAGTGCAGATCATACCGTCAAGATCTGGGATGCTAGTAACCAACGGTTCAACCTGCTAAAGACTCTGACGGGACACCAGCGATGGGTGTGGGACTGCGCCTTTTCTGCCGATTCTGCGTACCTGGTCACAGGTGGGTTGCTTTTCTGCTTAGTTCTAGGCTCGTCGGACCACTCTGCAAGGCTGTGGGATCTGTCATCGGGAGACACCATCCGCCACTACAATGGCCACCAAAAGGCCGTTGTAGCTGTAGCTCTTCATGATATTTCGGTTATTTGAAATGGAATAAATTATATTGGTAGCTGGAGCACACCTGTCTTGGCGGCATCCGAGCTCTGGCCGCGGGATTCCAAGCCGACAGCCATTGCGGTGCAGCGTTGCCACAAGCTACTCCAGCTGACGAAAGACCCACAGACAGCCTTCAATGCCGCCAAAGAACGCACACGATGCCGGGAATGCCCGGATGAGCGTTGGCCGCAAGCCGGTAAAGTACGATCGCCATCCCAGGGCATTCATTTGACCCATGATGCCCGAGAGGGAGTGTGTTGGATTTGCCTGCAGCCGGGTCTTGAGGTTGTCGAAGGGCATGGCAATCGTCCAGTTGATGCATCCTGCAATTCCTCCCGAAAGCAGCACCGCAACGGGCGAAAGATCACGGCCCTCGCCCCTCTGGAGTCGCTTCAGCCCTTCGTAGCTCATAAAGTAGAAGAACGACCCAAAGCAGTCTCTAGCCAGCGTCATGCCCAGTCCTCTAGTAGCCTGGCCCTGTCTGATGGCGTCTCGGATGATGTGGGCCGTCGACAAGGTCCCGGAGGCCACTTGCAGCCGGACTTTGATGAGTTCTGCTGGACCCACCAGCAGGGAGGTTGGTATGGATCCCAGCAACCCAGCCAACCCCACCTGCAGGAGCGATAGCTGGTTGATGGTTTCAAAGCGCGACCATCCAAACACCAGCCGCTGCGACAAGCTGTATGCCCAAATGTTGACGGCCAAGATTAACGGAGTTCCAACCGCAACCGGCCCAATTCCTCTGTACAGCCCCACGAATCCATCCGTCTTTACAATAGTCTTGGCCGCATTGAAAAAAGAAATGCTGCCCGCGATGTTTCCGTTCTGCATGCGAACCTTTATCAAGTCGAACGGCTGGGACACACCAACCAGTGTCAACCCTGTGTCCATTAGCTAAGGATGCAGCAATACCTCCACAGGCGCCGGAAACGAATGATTGCAGAGGCGTGACTTTTTGGGAATGCGACATCTTTGGCGGCAAACCGCTTTGCCCAAACCTCATGCTATCAAGACGCACCAAGCCGTCATCTTGGATATGTCTCGGATTTGGGCATGCTGCTGAATGAGCCGGCTCCCACGCAGCGTGTCCTGCTCCACACCGAAAGCATCTCGACAGTGCGGTCATTAGGAACCCGCCACTACTGCGGTCCGGCTGCCTGAAGCTCTCATTGGTTTACTAGAGTGTCCTACGCAACTGGCAGGCCTTCAAAATCGCTGTGAATAAATCGGTAGCAGCAGCTGTGTCTTCCCTTCGAGTCTGGCCTAGTTCAGCGGCAAGCAAACTGACTTTGAAGCCATCCCGCGTCAGCGACTTGTTTTCCTCGGTTGGTGATAAATTGGGTACTAGTTCTATTGCTATTCCTGCGCCAATCGTATGGGAAGGTGGCCGAGAGGTCTAAGGCGTCACGTTCAGGTCGTGATATCGAAAGATGCGTGGGTTCGAACCCCACCCTTCTCATTTTGCTTTTGCCGGCATTTTTTTTTCAAAGGCTGCAAATGGATGACTGTTGCTTTTCCTGCGCAGCGGCCAGTGCGAGGCCAGACTGGTCTGCGCTGGGTCGTCAATTCGTTTGCACCGGGCAGCCAGCGCGCAACCTGACAGCTTTGAGATGCAGATCGGACGCTAGAGTGGCTGCAGCCGTCGCGGGCAGAACGGAGTGCCGTGGCTGGTTGGATTCGGGAAGTGTCCGAGACAAAGGATAGCGGGAAAACGCGTCTTCGCATAATAGATTCCAGAAGCAACTGACCTAATGGGAAAGACGGTATTCACACAGAATCGAATTGTGGCTGCGATTTGGTACATCAAAGTATTTTTTGCATTGTCGCTGGCAATTGGCGGCCTGGTGTTATTGGGGCAGCAGACCTTTGTCAAGTATCACGCCGCAACAAAAGCTTCTGCAAATGTTTCAAGACCCATTACAATTGATCCTACCAGCACCGAGTGCCAAGCTATCAACAGCAAACTCCATCGCGTCGAGCCTCCGGATGGCAGGGTGTATACCGGTTTCAACGTCCAGTGGGACATGCAAAAGCCTGCCGAAATTGGTGCCATCATGCAGAAAAACCCCGCGGTCTTGTAGGTGGTGCCGAGGACTGATGGTAGCGGGGCGTTTCTGGATCTTGACGAAACCAACTCGCCAGCCTTTGACGGCAACATGATGGCCTGGCAAGGCAATCTCATCCAGCTCATGGGCGGCGTCTATGCCCTGACCATGCAGCCGACTGCCGCCATCGCGACCGTCTCTGACGCTACCCTAAAGTCGCTAGCCCTGGCCTGTGCGGCCATCAACGCCAAGGGAGTTCCCATTCTCCTGCGGTATGGCCACGAAATGAATGGCGACTGGACGTCGTACGGAGTGCATCCTGTCAACTATGTCAAGGGTTTCCAGAGAATGTCGCTGGTCATCAAGCAATACACCAATCTGACCGGTATTGGCGCCGCGCTGACGCTCTAGCAATGGTGTGGAGTCCAAACGTTGGCATCAACTACCCATTCTCAACCGCCCCTCCCTCCTTTTATCCAACAAACAAGACCGACCCCGTCAACTTCCAGGCGCTTGACACCAACAGCGACGGAGTCATCGACTGGAAGGACGACCCGTACGGCCCATACTACCCAGGCGACGACTACGTAAGTCAAGCGGCTGCTGATGCCAGGTCGATTGGATTGGACTGTCGCTGTACTGGTATCCCGACGAAGAGCTGGGATACAACGGACAGGTCATCCCCACTTACTTTACCGACGAACTGACGGGATCCGGGCCGGCCATTGAGCGTGTTGCGGTGGAGGTCCTCAACGACGGTGGACTGCGAAACTTTTACGGACGATTTGTCGCAACAAGCGGCAAGCCCTTTATCATTGCCGAGACTGCCGCCCCGTGGATCGTTGGCAAGCCGGCTACGCAGACGGAACTTCAGGTGAAGCAGCAGTGGTGGCAGCAGATCTACAACTCGACCACCTTCAAGCAGTTCCCTAGACTCAAGGGTGTTTTGCAGTTTGAAGAAATCAAGACCGACGGTCTGGGAGTGACCCGTGACTTTCGCGTGCTGGCGAATTCAGACGTTGCAGCAGGTTTCAGGGCCGACTTGAATAATCTGAAATCAACCATGCTCTATGCACAACAGTTGAACTTTGCTTGCGGCGGTCAAGTGCAACTTGTAGCCTAGCGAATAAATGGTGCATAGTTTCCGAGCCGTCGATGCCCGCTCCACCATGGCAAAAACAGCCCGAATGCACGCACGCTGGCTATTTTGGCAACAGTTTATTCAATCTACACGGCCACTTTCAGGCCCAGACTAGCTCTCCATTGCGGAACCAAGTAACACCAAGACACGCGCAGCAGATGGGCACGGAAGGAGACAAACCCAAAGAGGGATAAGGCAATGTACAGTCGCCCGCGATGCCGTGGCAGATCCTACCATCCGCCAAAGGGATTTCCGGTTCGGGTGGCAGCCACGAGCTTAAGAAGCTTTTGCTTCGAGTCCAGCGATTTCTTCTTCACCGGATGAGCCGCTGTGGTAGAAGGCTTCTTTCTGGATTTGGAAAAAATCGGAGCCTCCGACTGAGGCTTTGCAGAGGGATCCAGACTCCGTTCTTTGTACTCAAACTCTACCAATCTTGCTTGGTCCTCGTCTTCGTGCGAGGGAGGCAGCACAGGGATAGAAAGTCCAAGCCGGTCTTGCACCGCCAGCGACGCTTTTTCAATGGCCTTTTCTTGTTTTTTGTCGCTTCGGAACTTTCGGCGAATCATCTGAGACTTGGTATAGGGGTCTTTCCATTTGGCGTCGTTGTAGGCAACGATATCGTCGATTTCGGGTGCTGCCACGGCGGCTTTGCTCTGGTCGGCGAGTCCATGCTCCAGTCTGTAGAATACATCCTCCTCCAGCTTTTCCTTCTCGTCCTCCTCAGCCAGGACCAGAACCCCAGCATCAGTCGGGTCAAAGGTCTCGATTCGCTTGCGCGCTCCTTCCAGAATCACATACTCTGCATTCTTGGGGTCCGTCTGGATCACAATAAAAGAAGGACACAAATGGCACTTCATTCTAAAGGTAAAAATGGGAGTAGAGTGGTAGTTGCCAGTATGCTTCTTCTCGGCGTTGTAGCGAACCCCCATTCCAATGTGATTGTTGCAGCCCAAGCACCAAATATTGAACGGCATCTCAAACCGCACCGTGATGGTTCTGAAGGTGGTGCCGGGCTTCTTTTCGCTGCGCAGCTCCTCCAGGATGTCTTCAGCTTCGACTTGGGGCTTGAGCCTGCTCGCCTTGGGGTTCCGCTGGTATTTGGAGTAGTCATTAATGGTCCGGAACTCTTTGGGGTCGTAGTCTGGGGGGTAGTACTTGTTTTGTGCTTGCATCGTTTGGGAAAGTCCAAACGTGGTTTCATCTGTTCAAAAGGAGTCTTTTATATCGTCGGATAAATAAGATGTTAATCAACCAACATGTGTGGTTGTTGACTGAACCAACGACATTGTGGTTGACATCCACCGGATCGAGTGTATCTTGTCCCGAGTCCAAGCATCAATCTGTCAATTAACTTGAATAGTTTTGGTGACTTTTCTGGCCAAACTATTTTGCTTAGCTCTGCCCCCAATGATTCTGGTGCTGGCGCTCCAATTGCTGCAATTATTTGTTCTTGTAAAGTCGGCAGAATCCAGACAGCTGGTGAATCGGTTTAAATCGCTGAGCAAGGCGACAGAGCTGCGGAAGTACGATAAACTCTCGGTTCTTGCCAACTTGGAAATAGCAGGCCCACTGTTAGGCCCGCTACTGACTCCCAGAGTTAGCGGCACTCAGGGAAATCTGGACGTCCAGCAGCACATCATCAACCACTTTACCCAGCTGGGATGGCACATCGAACAGGATCGCTTTAACCAGAGCACGCCGTTTGGCCAGGTGTCGTTCAACAACATCATCGTCACAAAAGACATCAAGGCCCAGCGCCGTCTGACGCTGGCTGCCCATTTCGACAGCAAACACTTTGAAGACTTTGAGTTCATTGGCGCCACGGACTCTGCAGTGCCATGTGCAATTCTTATGCATATTGGATCCACGCTGAACGACTTGCTTGAAAAAAAGATGGCTGGTCTCGATAGATTTACGACGCTGCAGCTCATCTTTTTTGACGGCGAGGAAGCCATGATTGAATGGACAGACGACGACTCCATATATGGCGCCAAACACCTGGCCGAGACCTGGTCCAGTACCATGTATACGCTCATCAACGACGATCAAAGCACGTCTCAGGTAACCCAGATTAGCCAGATGGATGCGCTGGTTCTTTTGGATCTGCTCGGCACCAGAGATGCTACTGTCCCCAATTCCCAGCCGTCGACGCAGTGGATCTGGGATCGGCTCTCCAGAATCCACGAGAAGCTGGCAGCGCTAAAGCTCCTCTCGCCGTATATGCAGGATCGGGTGAAGCGCGGCGACTACATGTTTCCTCCGGGCCGCCCCACGCTCCAGTTCAATGCCGTGCAGGCAAGATGGCCGACCCTTACAGCCTAGGACGACCACGTTCCCTTCCAGCGTCTCGGAGTGCCGGTAACCCACTGCATTGCCTTTCCGTTTCCCAAGGAGTGGCACACCGCGCTTGACGATGCCGACTGTCTCGACCAGGGAACAATCCACGATTTGGCACTAACCTTCCGAGTCCTAGTGGGCGAGTACCTGGGGCTGAACGAGTACTTTTGATGCCGTAATACACACTTTCCACCACCACGTCGCTTGAACGTTAGATTTATTGTGTAGTACAATGAGCCCCGTGCATCCAAACGCAATTTACAGCGGCTTTCGGTTGAAAATCAAGTCTTTCACCACTTGGCCAAGCAGTCCGTGGGTTGCCTCGTCTGATATGTTGACTGCGTCCGAAACGAGCCGGGTCAGTGGCCCTTCTTTTTTGTGGTCCTTCTTGGTGCCATGAGAATCCAGTTGAGTGGCAGAAAAGTCGCTCTTCCCGGTCGGAAAGTACGAGCCCATTTTTGGCTCGGCATTCTCCATCTTCTTGGCCAAATCAGTCGCTTGGCCGGTGATATACCCCCAGTTCTACCGTTAGACCCACGGCGTACCGAGAGGAGAGGCGACGAAGAGAGCGTGTTGATCCAGTAGCGCTTCCAAAGCAGCTCCAGTAGCTGGGTGTCCAAGGAGGATTTAAAGTACTCGACCTCGAGCGGGTAGTAGGAATTGGCATGCGCTACGGACAGTAAGCGTGCAACCGTGTCTACCACCAAAGTCTTCAATCTTTTCCAACGGAATCGTTTGATAGTCGCTGCTCGACGCGCCGCTAGGCTTGTGTCCTTCGGGATACGTCCTGAATGCTCCTATTTCGACTTTGCCAGAGGCGATCGTTCGTTTGGGATCCACCTGGCATTAGGAAGTCTGCGTACCTAGCCATCAGTGCCGGCCGCCTCCCACCACAATCGCAAGGAACGGCTCGCTGTACTGCTGGTTCAGCTTCTG